GCGTGCAGAGTTTTGTGTTACCGTTGCTTCGACGCGTACCTCACCATTTCCCTCGCCAAGATGATTATAGAGTGGACTGACCGCGACGTCAGCCGGTAGCATTGCGCGTGTTACTCCGTGGGCAGCCCATGCTGGGGATGCCCAGGCAGCCCACATGAGCCCCACATGGGCCGGACATGGCCTCTTGTACCACCTGGGTTACACCATATTTTATACAACGTGACACTCCACCCTTTGCATATGTTTCATTTTTGCACACCATTGCTTGCGCGCCCAAATCCCTCAATTGAAGACTGGTACATTGCTTAAAATCTGTAAAAAAAAGCTATCCACAGACCCAGAATATTTGTCTGGCCAGTCACTGCATTTATCATTGAACTCGTACTAAAATGAATTACTATCATTTTTTTTAATTATTTTATTTAAACTTGGCATTATTTTATTAAGCGGAAGAGTCTCGCACCCTTCCTATTTTGGGTTTACCAAACTCAATATCTACACCTGAGTGTAAATTTTTTGGGTTTTCCAGTCTTATGGTTGTGGTCAAAATAAGCACCCAGTTACCTAAATGAGACACCTAACCATGAAAAAATAGTTAATTTGTTGTGATTTTCGAGGTATTCAATTCCTCAGGCTAGAATTTTAGAAACCCACATCTTTCACGTCATCACGTTTTCCTGGAAACCCATAAAGAGCCAAACGTATACATGGCAAAATGGCCGGCCCTTCATGTAAATCTGATCACATTGAAATATGTGGAATTGGGCTCTACCACACTTCATTCCAAGTCACTTCATCCCAGGACAGTTCATCCGGGACACATCATACCAAAGTCATTTCATCCCAAGATGTTTCACCTAAGACAGTTTATCCCATAGACAATGCATACCTCAACGTTTGACGCCAGGATATCCCATACGGTTTAGCCGATTCAAGGGCCACTCACTTCATCCCAGGCCATTTCATTCCAGAGCTTGTTCATCCCGGACACTTCATCCCAGAAACGTTCTATCCCAAGACGTCTCATCCCAAGACGGTTCCTACTAAGGACATTTAATACCTGATTTTATACCACGAAATTTTCTGCCTAGAAGAAGTTATAAAATGGGTTTTTTACGCGCGTAGCCGACATATGCACTTCGTCCTTCTTATACACGAACTCATCTCTGTTACGTCACGGCGCGGTGGTGGCGCGTCGGGCGCACTTCCGGTCTGGGGCTGTGGGCGGAAGTCCCTATGTGAGACGTGTATTCCTTCGTTGTTTTGAAAGGAACCAGACAAAAACCTGCCTTCTCGTCAAAACGCCGCTTCTGGGGCCGTACCAAAAGAGTCGAGAAAGGTTTGAAGGTCACTTCTCACGTGCTCGGTTCGTCCGAGTACGTGGATATGTGCAGTGAAAAAGGAACCCCAGACGCCGTCGGACCACGATTGCTTGGGCGGGAAGCACTTTGGGTTGAATTCAGGGATACTTGTGGTGATCAAATTTATTTGTTCTGTTCCAATATGAACGCCGGAAAACCGTCAAGTTGTACGGACAACTTGCGGAGTACGTTAAGTGCGTCTTCAACTTCAAACGGCCGCCTGATCGTTCGAACTGTCGTCTGCTCTTTCAAACGTTTCTGCTTGTCCTCTGCTCTTTTAGGCGACCCCGGCCCGTAGACCAAATGTTGGCCCGGTACTTGCGATGAGCAGTAAGTGCAGGCCTCAAAAGGCTTAAGTTTGAAGGTTGGTAAGCAGGCTCGATGTAAACAGTAGATACAAGATGTTGATCATTGTTACCAGTGGCCATCACCGACTTGTTATGCCTGATTCACTTGGTCCGATTCTGCTTGCGATTTTCAGTATCGACGTCAACCATCTCAGTTAAGGTTCACGCTTTTGCAGCCCGAGCGACGTCGCGACTGAAAATTGCGAGCGAAATCTCATCATGCGAATCAGGCTTTAGCGTACAATCTGTGGCGTCCACGCGGAATGAATCGCCGCATGTCACATTATTCGCGCGAAGTTTTGGGGTGTAAGGAGCCTCGATAATTTCGCTGAGGCCGCTCAAGTAGTCAGACATTGCCAGGAAAACGTAGAATCAACAATTCGAACGCGAAAAAGGGCAGGAAGACTCACACCGAAGCCGACTACTACCCCTGTTACACGGGCACACTTAACCGCGGTTAACTCAGCTTAACTGCTGTTGCGTGGCACCACAGATACCGCCCTATACTCTCGGGCAGCTATTCCATAAGAAGTGAAGAGCGCGCGTGCACTGCTTTGATGGGTGCTCAAGATGCTGCAGCGCACGTTCGACCAGAGCTTTGACTGCATAGCCGCATAATGTTGTCGGCAATTATTGTGCGCCAACTGTGGCTTAGCGTAAATGCAGTTAAGTGTGCCCGTGTAACAAGGGTATAAATCGCATTTCAATGGTTTGTTTATGGGCGACGGCGAGCTTCTTGACCTCACTCCATCGCGCATGCGCGGCGCCTATGGCGTCCGCTAGGGGCGCTCCGGTTTGTATGTAAACATGAGTTGGTTTATATTGTCAACCGTGCCACGTAAGGCCGTCGAGCGAGTGAGCGACGCACTCCGACCTTGGCGAGACCGTCTCAAAAAGCGGTCTGCTCCGACCTTGGAGGAGCCGGTCAGCAAGGGCGCCGCCATCTTGAATTGTCGTCACTTCAAGTACAGGTGAAAACATTGTTTTGCCGTCGCCACGTCAATAGAAGGTATTTAGGACATAAACGTAACCATCACAGATTCTGGTTTTGCCTCCCCTTTATTTATTTTTTTTTACTATTTGCAGGTTGAAACGTTTTGGATATTTTTTCGTCGCCCATACCGGATGTGCCTACTTGGCGGTCGGGGGCGAGAGTAAGGCGCGAAACACATGTACGACGAAACCGTCCGATCCGACGTGCGGACTGCCGGAATGACCTTGGGGGGAGAGGGTTTTCGTAGCATCGGAGAGCGTTGAAACCCCTCGCCTCCGACCGTCGTATTGCGTGGTCGGACGTCGGATCGGACGGTTTCGTTGTACATGTCTATATGAGACGCTGTTATACTTGAAAGGTCGGAGAGCCCCGCTCGCTTTTAGAGCGTCGCTCTTAGGCGCCCGTTTCCGGCTTGAGCGGCGTCTCCGCCGCCGTCGGCGTAACCGCGCGGTGCATTATGGGAAATATCCCATAATGCACCGCGCGGGTCTCTCGTGACGTCACTCGTGACGTCACACGTGACGTCATGAGGGTCCCGCTCGGTGCATTATGGGATATTTTCCATGATGCACCGCGCGGGAAGAAGAAGGAGGGAGGAGGAGAGGGAGGAGGACGAGGGAGAGGGAAAAGGAAGGGGGAAGGGGAGGAGGAGGGGGAGTGCATGAATGGTAAGAGATTGATGGAAATAGGGAGATTCAATGTGGCTGAGTGCGTTTACTGAGCCAGAAAAGGTGACATTGACGAGCGATTTCTCCTGAAACATGAGGCGAAACTGCAAAGGTGGGGTGCGCGTTCGGTGTTAGGGTCGAAATTTCCACAGAGCCGTGACTGTCTACGGCTCTGAGGACATGGCTCCGCGGATATTCTCTCCGTCGTGTCCGCGGCTGCGAGAGATAGATGGAGTCCATTCTGGATGTCGCCGTGACGTCAACGTCAGGTGCGTTGCCCTTTCAGTTACAAAGCGTCGCAAACTTCAACTCTAGCGTGCTGAAATGAAATACTTGAAAACATCCTTACCTTGAGATTGTGATTGGAAGATATAAGTTAAGCTCATTGCCTTTTCTAGGGAAATATTCGGGGCAAGGGGTCGAGCACAACAGCTGTTAATCAATGCACCCAAGGTCATTGAAACAATTTCGGCCAATGACGTGCCCCTATTTCCGCCCTATTCTTACCAATTAATGACCGAACTCTCTACATATACGGCTGTGCGCCTTCCGTCTTTCGAAGCGCCGCCGCAACTGCAGTGTATTCCATATAATTAATCTGCTTTGAAGCACAGTGTTTCATCGTATACTCCATGAAACGCACAGCTTTGAAACGAAAAATCTAGATGGCGCTTCGAACGACGGTAGGCGGACTGCAGGGAGTGAGGCCCCCCCTCCGGTCCACAACTGAGCTAATTCATTGCACGCTGCTGGGGTAGCGATAACATGCGTGAAACGACGACGTCACTCTTCGTTATTCTGGGCAGGAATGGCGACGTTCTTTTTGAACGCAATGTTAAAATCGGGAGAAAAAACGCGAAAACTGATCGATTAATATCTCGAAAACTATTACCTCTTTGCACTTTTTTTTCAGTTGGTCTGGCCTCTAATAGTAAGCGCCATCGTTATTGCAATTCCAACATAACCCCTAAAACCAAAAATTAAAACTTAGTTAAGAAGTTTAAGTTAATTTGTCAACTTACAGTTTCGATTATTCACTCGCGTAATATCTGTCGAGCCTGATAAATCCGTGGTAAAAACAAAATTCGTCAAACTGTCAACCTTTATATTTTAAGGAATCTGTTCGATTGAAAATCAAATGCCCCGTATATCTGGAATTAGAAATTCAGCAAAAGAAAAATGGTTCAGCAGGTATATCGATTTCGCACTTCTTCTAGAAATGGTGTTACGTCAAACTTACCAGATTATTTGCATGCTACTTCCTCTAAATGATGCGCTCTCAATAGTCGAGAACATGATGCGCCACGATAAGCTCGGAACACTAACCATTGGTCTTTCTTTGCTCATTTCAACCAATGAGAAAATTGGCTGGCACAACTTAGAATGACCATGCGATCTCCGTAACCAGATGTGGTAAGCGTTTTTTTTTTTTTTTTCGCCATTGACATTGTTTTATTATGGGGGCACCATACCACTCGCTCTTTTATTTGTTAACCTGAATAAAGGAGAACAAATTACTGCTTTGTGAAGCGTTTCGTGGCACAATATACGTGCAGGGGCTTCTGACAGCCTGACCAAGTCTATTGCGTGAATCTGCGTCCTTTGAGCAATAAATATAAAGCAACTGAAATTAAGTTTGAACGAATCTTTTTAGCGTATCCGCAAACATTCCTTCAAGCTTTCTCATGCGGACAAATACAGCTTTCCCAGACGAAGCCTGTGGCGAATCTTGAGGCGGATCCCCCACAAGAGCGTGACGTACTTGACCAGAAACTCCCGGACTATCTTGACCTTCGCTGCGGTAGCCACCAGCGAGAGGACCATCAGCGTTAGTTTCACGAAGGATCTGCGCTCTCCTTCCGTCTTCCAGGGCACCTCCCTCGTCTTCAGACCCCTCCTGTAGTTCTCTTGGAAGCTCAGGATTTCCTGGCGTGCCATGGGCCAGGGCCGAGGTCCGTGCAGCCTGTACTGGTACGGGAGGCAGGGTCCGAACACGCAGGCCCACAGAAGCTTCGGGTCGGTGAAGAGGAGTCGAAGCAGCCTGGGCCGGCATCCGACCAGCTCGGCCACTTCGTCCATGTAGTCGATCCAGTCCACCTGTCTTGCGTGCCTGCTGCCCTCGATGTAGCGGCGTCCGATGTGCCTCTCCTTGAGGTCCACGTCGGCGTCCATCGCAGCGCGACCGGGCAGAGCGTAGCGGCCCACGAAGACGCCCACGGCCCAACGGCTTTGCAGCTCCGAGATGGGGAACAGGCTGCCTTCGGGCTGCACGCCGCCGATGAAGGCGAGCGTGTGGCGTTCCAGGTGCGGTGGGAAGACGAACTTGTACAGCCGCAGTCGGTTGTCTCGCACCGGAACGAGCTTCGAGTCGATGAACGGGAAGTGGGCGCCGTAGCCGGTCGCCAGCACGACCACGTCCACAGGAACGGCCCTGGTCGGGTCGTCCTCCAAGAGGACCCCGTCCTCGGTAAAAGACACGACGTCGCCCTTGACAACTACCGTGCCGTTCAGGATCTTGGACGGAAGAAGGTCGCTGATGGTGGCGTGCTGTTCGTGGATGCGGTGCCTCGCGGCCAGGTTGTAGGCGGCGTGGTCGAAGCGTGCGTTGGCTTCGTTCTCACTGACGTGGCAGACGAGCCCGAATGGCAGCAGGTGGAAGAGCCAGTTCCAGACGCGCCGCACGTTGACCGTGTCGAACGGCTCTCCTCGGGGCCCGACGCGGGGAATGGTCCAGCAGCCCCGCCGGGTGCTCACGTACACCTGAGGCACGTGCAGGAGAAACACGAATCACACCACCTTTCAGACCTACGGGGAACTCTAGCTGCCGAGGCATTACCGTGAATCGGGGCTGATTGGCTCTGAGGAAAACTAAAGGCACGGACATTGTTTAGGGCAATCAAAAAATTATCTATGCGGGTCTGTTTTTTCGCAGAACACTCCGAGAACCAATCAGTGCGATGCACGGATGGAGCTCAACGAATGACGTTACCGAAAACCTAAATTTCGACACGGAAGTGGTCTGCGATGTGACACAAATGTCCTACTGTTCCACAACAGCTTTTATTTGTAGATAAAAACATATTAAGGTTTCGCAGATTGCCGCGATTGCTCCTCAAAGTGTTCTGCAGGTAAGCAGATGCGTAGTTTTTCTTTTTATACAACCAGTTCGCAGGATAATTTTTTAAGGGCGTTTGCGCGAGCCTGTTTTTCGTAGTTGGCTTCTTCTCACAGACGCACTATCACCCTGTTTTCTCCATGAACGCGTTTTTATGCAGACGGATATGACGTATATTCGTCACTTCCTGCCGCTTTGAAACAGCCATAGATATTTTTCGGTCTCGTTCAGACGACGCACCTTTTTCTTAAAACTAGGTTTCCCGAAACAGATGCGCTAAAAAGAGGAATCGTGTAAGCGAGCCTGAATACAAGAGTGAAAACATTGTTTTTTCCACCGAAGAAACAAAATTGCATTTTCAGGACCCGAATACTCGTCGCTTGTTGTTGGTGACGTCCGAGAGCAAGAAAAGTTGCCAACGGGAGGTATTCTGAGGAGTCCTCCACCAGAGTTGTTTGCACGTCCGTCGAAGTACTAGCGAGGCTAGACCATAGCGCCTATACCAATATCAAGAACACTGCGTTCGAGCAATACCACTTAGAAGGCCTGCGGGTGACGTCATCGTTAGTAGATCCCCGACCCGTCCCAAGCAGCAGACACGCCGATGCTCTCAGGCGCGTCCCTGTTAGCGTCGCCACGTGCTGACGTCGCGCTGGGAGCGACGCAGAAAGCACTCTAGGCCGCGCTGCCTGGAAGTGATGACGTTTCGGGGAAGGAGGAAGGCGCAGGCCTTGTCTTCTAGGTGCTACTCGTTCGAGCCGATCTGGTGTCCCACTCACGGAGTCCGCGACGGCGCTGAGTTCGACGGCCACGTCGGCGCCGGAGTTGCCCAGGCCGACGACGAGCACGCGCTTGCCCTCGAAGCCCGCGGGGCGCTTGTAGTCCCGGGTGTGCAGCACGCGGCCCCGGAACCTGTCCAGGAGCCCCGGAAACGACGGGAGCACGGGGGCGACGTCATAGCCCGTGCACACCATGGCGGCGTTGAAGCTCTCGGTCCAGGTCTTGCCGGAGGCCACATTTTGGATCAGGGCGTCCCAGCAGCCCGTCTGCTCGTGGTCCGAAGCAGGGCTCAGCTGCAGGATAGGGACCGCGCAGTGAACATCAAAGGGACAGTCAGCGCCGTCTGTCTAGCTGGCACTTCTGGCAACTCCGAAACGTCTTATATTCTTTATTTATTTAGCTTCTGCAGCTGCGGCGCGGTATTATCACAGAAAGCGAACAAGAGTAAAAAAAAAAAAAAAAAAGAAAGCTTGTCGGCAATTACGGCACAAACCGTCACTTCATCAAGCGGATTCCAGTCTTAAACTTATAGCAAAACAAAAAAAAAACTCTTCCGGAGTTCTCTTTTGGTGCTGTATTCACGAATTGATATGATATAATATTATATGATATTTGCGATTACGAAAAAAAAATCGGTGTTAAAAACTAAGATGAGTTGTTAATACCGGGGATTATATAATAAATACTATTGTCCCGGGGGCAGTGAATCTGAATAGTAGGCGCCTCCGCATGGCTGGTGTCCAAGAGGTGCAAATTTGGGAAGGCCTAGCCACCGAGTGCTCGGACACAAACACTGCGTCACAGTTCGGCAAGGTATCGGAATATTCAAGGCCGAAATTAGGTCCAATGTTTGCAACCGCGGGCCGTTTCAGACTCCCAGACTTGAGAAGTAATTTTGTAATTGCCACGTTACTTTTTTGCGGCAAAAGTTTGTAGTATAACTTGGTTACAAAATAGTGGTACCGGATTACTTTAATTACTCGTTAAATATTTAAAAAAATTAACATAATACAGAAACTGGAGAAATATGAGCAGGCAATTCAGCAGTATAAAGATAGCAAGTTCAACAAAATAGAAAACATCGTGAAGAGGAGAATAACCTAAAAGATGACACGTTTTTATGTATGACCGGTCACGAAAACCACTAGAACAACGTGCAAGGCATGTAAAAATATGCGAAAAACAAAGATTAAGAAGAACACCCCGAGCGGGCTCTGTCTCTTTCCATTGGCTTCCATCTTGTGTTTCTTCTCTTGTGCAGGAGCAAGCTCTCTGTGTTTATTTCTTTTTGACCTTTACACCGTTTCGCTCTTTCCAGATCTTTTTTTTTTTTTAAAGTATGCCACCACCCGCACTATCACAGCCCAAAAAGGAGCGCTCGCGCCCATGCATTTCTCAGTACTGCATGCAACTATATACTCCGTTCATGCATAAGCTGACAGTGCGTGAAAAGTATGCAGGTACGAGACTGCAGCTTTGAGACGGTAAGCTCACGCTTGAAAGGCCCGTTTCAGGAGGGAGCTTTCGTAGATCGGCTACTTACCTCCCAGTTTCCTGGAGGAGCTAGACGCTGCTACTGAGCAACGCGCACCGCTAGATTTGTATGCGTAATTCCAGAAATCATTTCCGGTCGCCGTAAGCTATAGCGGGATGGCGTCTGTAGGGTGCCTTCATGTGCGCTTCGCGTAGAGTGATGCCAACTGCCTGTTTCCCTTTCCCACACCCTCTTCCACCGCCATTTTGTTCCCCTCATTGTTCCCCGTGTGCCGGAAAGTGGCCTTTGTGTCCATCGGTAATCCCATCCGAGGGGGAAAATGCTAATCCTCCCTCCGTGGGTTCCACAACGCTGCTCCGAACTTCTGAGATAAGGTGCTTGTTTCCGGGAGGGTTATAAGCCCCACGGATTATCGCTGAGACCAAAATGGCTGCTGGTTCGTCGGCGAGTGGTATTACGAAGGGTGGCACCACCCTAGCAAACGCACATGAAGGCTCTCTAGGCGTGTGTGGTTGCAGCTTTCGGTGCCTTGTCAGCTTACAGTTGAACAGAGTGCACCTACATTCTTTCTCTTAAATACATTATTTTATTTTTACGAGGATTACCATAATGCGGGTGTATGAGAAATGGAAAGCAGTGTTGCAGAACATTTTTGAAAACATCAAAAATGTTTCTATATTTCTCTCGATAAATGAACGGGAAAAGTAGCGTGAAAGCAATTGTAACACGACGATAGAGTAATCCGTTACTTTGAAGCGAAATTAATTTGTTACGGTAATTCATTACATTCGAGGATGGGTAATTTGTAATTGTCATCCATTATATTTTTAAAGTAACGGGCACAAGTCTGTTTCAGAGTTACAAAAAAATTCCCCAAGCCAATTGCCCGGTGGGGTTATAAAATTTTCGAACGTAAGTTCATAGCGTAGAAACGCAAATGAACAGAATTCTCCATAGCACCATCTATGGACACCAGACTAATCATATTTTTTCTTCGATATCAGGGTCGCTTGATAATCGGTCTTACTGGCCGAGGACAAAGCGAGCGACAAGATTTTAAGCTTTTTTCAAAACAAATTTAATTTTTATTGCACTTCACTGGTCGCGACTTGAAGCATCTCGGTTCTCTGACGAACCTTGACGCAGCGACGCAACGACGTCTCCGATTGTTCGGTGACGCTGTGACAGGATGCATATTACGGCGAAGCTGCTCATGGCTAGGCTTCCGTGGATTTTTCATGCACGTCAACAAAAGCTCAGGGCGGGCTCGCACCGCCCCCTCTTTGTCGTCGTTCCAAACGCTTGCGTGCTTAGTTTCCTTTCCTTCCACCGGGTGGCGGTCCTCCGTCGCGCGTGTCTAGTTTCCTTCAACTCCTCGGGGCGGCGATGTGACTCGACATGTGTATCCGTACCTTTTGTCACGATGACCACCGATCGAGAAAATAAATGCGTTCGTACATTTGTTCAAACTTCTGTGTCACGTCTGTGTCGTGTGCTAAGCACCTTCGCTGGTCATCCATCTTCGCAGAGTGAAATGGCTCATGGTTTGTTCACACCTTCGAGGGTGTAAATCAACGTGTCTAGGGCTAGCACCTTTTTGATGTTGGACACCCCAAAAACATTCGGTCACGACCTTTACGTTTAAAGTCATATAAAGGCTGGAGCGCATGATGCCTAAAACGGCAGTTAAGCTCCTCCGCTTTTGCAAAAATCGGTAAACGTTTAGGGAGGTTTAGAGTGCCGAATAATTTTCGGAAGGAGACTCCGATTTTCGGGCGGCTCGGCGCGGACGACTCGGCGGGATTTCGTGAAGCATTGCGATATCCCTGCGGGGAAAAATGCCTCGCGTGTCTCGTCTTCCGAAAATCCCGTACACAACGGTTTTCGGACGGTCCGATTTCCGTCCGATTCTCGGTCCATTTTTTTGCATCACGTGTTCCAGCCTTTATTTATGAGTTTTAGTATTTAAGGAATGATTGTTAATATTTCTTTAGAACACATTAAAGAGTGGCTTTGGGGAGTGAACAACATATTGTTCATTAATCGCCATCACCTTCGTCTACAACATCACTGTACACGAAGAGCACACCCCTTTTCTTTTTCCACCGCCTCCCGAAGTCACTCGTCCGTTCGTCGCCACCAACTTTCTTTTTTTTCTGCCACTTTCGCCTTTTTTACAGCCTCACCCCGTAGCAGAACTGAAATGGAGTACAGTCCCCAGCGCGTGCTTCCGGTGGTATAGCAGGGTTCATAGTTGGATACAATGTTAATTGGGAGTGTCCACATCCACGCGCGGCGATGTAGCCACGTCGGAAGGAGAAAAGGCTCCATCCACGCACTACGCCACTTCCGGCGCCCTACGTCACTTTTTGCGTGGACGGAGGCAGTTATCCTTCCGCCTTCTCTCCGTCCACGCAGCAATCAACCTACGGTCTTGTCTCCTATTGTTTTGCCATGTGCTCGGTGGCCATTGCTCCTTGCGTTCCTGCCGTGCGCGAACTGCTGTTCCTGCCTGGTTTTCCCCAAGCGGGTTTCTCTGAAGTGTTTTTTATTGTTTTCATGGTCAAGAAGTTGGGCCCTTTGTGTATTCGCACGGTCGCGCTTCTGATATGCCTCCAGTTTTGGTTGCCGGGGATTCGATGGTGAAATACTTGTCCCAGTATTTCACATCGAATAACCGGGTTGCTGTCGAAGTGCGGGTGTTTAGTAACATTAGGATCAAGGCTTTGTTTCTCAAGGTGTGGGACGCCCTGCTCGATTTTGGCACAAACATGCACCAGCATTTCTGCCAGCGCGTACGTTGACAAGTACCGTCGGCTAACCGCTCAGATCTTGGAACGCAATTTGACGACGCAGATCGCCTTTTCTTCCGAGGTGAGAGAACAGGCTCTCTTCGTTGGAGTGTCAGCGTAGGCAGAGTGCAGTGATCCAGGCGTTGAATGATCGGCACAGAGAAGTGAACTGGCTCCTGCAGGAGTTCTGCCACAAGAAGGGCTTCGTGTTGATCGGTGATCTCGTGGACGAGTGGCATCTGTGCATCGGCTACTGTTTTATTTGTCATGGAATAAACTGTTTCTGTAATCTTTTACCCAGTTTTCTCGATTGAATAGGTTTGTTATTACTGAGCCTAATGCATGCTTTCCCTTCTCGCACAATCTTTGTGAGATAGCCAGCGTGCGCGCCAAGTCAAGAACATACGAAGGGGTGTGCTCGCACTTGCCCCCTTCGATGCACATAAGCTCACACTACAACGCCTTAAACCAATTAAGTCAATCACATACACGGCGAAGCCTCGCCGCCTCGCCTCAGCAGCGATGTGCACATGGGCGAAAGCCCCGGAGGCCGCACCCGCGCCAAGCCAACCAAGCCCAAACCACATGGCTGCAGGCGGCACGCCCACACGCACGGATGGCACGCACGCTGCACGTGTGTGTGACTCCTGGACAACATAAATATAAAGATATCTATTGATACTATTTTTATGACGTATGATAATTCCTATTAGTGTTAGAAAACAGTGAAACATTGATAAATTGTCTAAGAATTTGTAAGGTCATGTGATATATTAACTTTAAAACAACAATAAAATGCAACCTCTTTATTTTTAGATCCTATATTTACTTATAAGAAAGCATAATATGTGCATAAAAGACAAATGTCCTTAAATTATAAGTCACGTGACCTTTTGCGTGGATGGAGCCTTATCTCCTCCCAACTTGGCTACGTCCCCGCGCGTGGATGTAGCCTCGGCCATGTTAATTTCAAATCCACATCAACTTTTTTTTTTCTAATGATTTT